ATCATTTTAATTTATTCAGAAGTTGTATGGCTCTGTTTGAAAAGAATATTATCTGAGCAATCCTGTATTACAGATCTCAAAATAAAAAACCTGCAAAAATGGGCCTCTTGATTATTTTGAGGAATTTTTAAAATTTGTATGATGAGACCAATATATGCTCATTATCCCTATACAATTATATGGCTGTCAACCCTGCAAAAAGAGAGATATGAATGCTTGAACATTGCTTGGTAGAAAAGTGAGTTTGGGGGGGTGGGGTTATAAAAATGGGCGTAGCTCGTTAGTTTATGGGTTAAACTGAAATTAAGTAACATATTCTCAATGGCAAATGGCTGGTTTAAATAGGTAAATTATCAATTTATTTTAAAAAGTCATCAGTTTTAACATATTTGCTTATGAAGTGGCTTTATTGACCGAAGCTGAAAATTAAGCCAAAAATGGCCAAAACATTTAATATTATATTATAATTATACCCAATAATTTATTTTGGGATTGTTGCCTTCAATGTGAATATCTCCTATATATGCAACTATATTATGAATTTGGTTGAAATCTGTTGACCCCCACCTTGCCACCCTCTGACTGGTCTTATCATGGACACACACTTAATGTTTTTCCATGTTTATATGTGTGTGTGTGTGTGTGTGTGTGTGTGTGTGTGTGTGTAAAGCATATTCTGTATAATAGAACAACTGTGGACGGTTTTCGATTACATTTCTATCACTGAATTTCTTTGGAATAAATGTGTGCTAAACGATTATGGTGTAATTATCGTTGTGGGAGCATTGCATTAATGTGTCGAGAAAAAAATCAATTTGAGACTGAGAGAGAGAGAGAAAGAAAGTTTAAGATAAGGAGAAGTAAAAAAGGTAAAAAGCGAAAAAATAGGGCGTGATACCACATATATATGTGCAGCTATTAATACGCGTCTCTCACTCTCTCTCTCTGTGGTAACATCTTAGAAGTATTGACTCGCCATTTTTGTTAACCTAAGATCAATACCAGGTCTACTGTGCCTCGGCCGCTTTACATAGCCACTGGGTCCTCAGTGAATAGTTCTCCTTTTGAAAGATAAAATTTGCTTTTGATTCACAAATTTCGCCCTTTAAATAGACTTGTGTTCACGGTGAACACGCTATTCTTGCCCGTTGTAGCATGGACAATAACAATGCGTGCACTTTTTAGTCTTGTTTACCTTTCTATTGTCTGTTGCCATGGGGACTTCATAAACTAAACCAAAGAAACGGGACGGACCTAATTCTTTCACCTGAAGGTTGACGTTTGTCTTGAAGCGCAGGGAAGGGAGAAGCATATTTGAACTGAAAACTGTAAGTTTTTTCTAAGAATCTGTTGATCTGAAATACACCCATCCTAAAGCAAAGGATGTATATAAGAAAATGGGCACTTCTTTGGAATATTTTGCGGGCTGCGTATTCAAATTAATGAGTTTTTTGGGTGTGAGGCACAAATAACTGTGGGCCCTACTGGCGGACGGTAAGTTACCCCTTTTTGTCTTTTTCATATTTACACATTTAGTATCCGACTTGACAAAGGAAGAATTCTTCTTCTTGGTGGAAGGTAGGTTTAAATATATTGTTACGGAGCGCTATTTAATAGACCGTTTAATGGCCAGATTGAAAACCTTGATCGTCTGGAATAACAATATTTAAGGACAGAGCGAAATGACCTTAAAAAAGAAAAAAAGTACTTTTTCTCTTATAAGGCGTGATAGTCATGTTTATCACATATAGTCTTATGATCATAAAATGAGCAGATGTATTTATTATTTCACTGAAAGGATAAACACTGATATGTAGTCGAACTCATAAGGTCACCGCCAAAGAATGGCTGGTAGAATTATGCCATCTACACTGAATTCTGATGCAGCCATGGTAATGTTTTGCTTTAATTTCCTCATACTATGTTTATTCATAAATGGATAACAAACACCGTATTGTGTATTGGTATTTGAGGGTTCTCTGATTATTAGGATGCACTTAAGGGTGAGTTTTTTCAGCCATGGTTGCGGGTCACGTGAGCATCAACTGCACATACTGTATATTGATCGTGCAACACTGTCGCAGCCTCTGGTAATCATTCATGATAAAAAGAAATTTGTCAAGGATAAGGCTTAATTGACCGGAGAGCCAAGAGCCTGTGATGTTAGTTGTGGTACAAATCTGGCGTTAGCGACGTATTTTCTGCCTTTTTGATGAGGCACAACAAGCAGCGGTCAGGACCTAAGCAGAGGTCTCCCGAAAGAATGAAGGGACAAGATGGTTTTATAAATAATTTTCATTCAGCGTTTTTTTTTCGCCTCTCGTATTTTTCATATCCATAAACATCTTGAATTTACTTTTTGCTGTGTGACTACAGATTACTCTTACTCCGACTACAGAAAGTATAGGACCTCAAAGATGAAGCTTAACATTTCAATTATTTTTTGTGCGTCTTACTTTCAAATTTGAGGTCATGTATCAACAGACGTATTACAAAAGCCATTCGGCCACATTTCCTCCATCTAAAGGAAATTCCCATTTCAGTAGGCTTACAAACTAATGAAAATATTGATAAATATAATTTTTAACGAAACTCCTTCAACAAAAATACATGTACATGTACATTAGTGTGGCATATTTGACTAGTGAAATAATTACTTAATCAAATCATTAATTAGTAATTACTTTTGAGTAAAGAAGACAATGTAATAAAGGAAACTGTTTCTTGTCAGCTTCAGCAAAGAGACGTCACAATGGAAGACCCAAACAACCCCGGAAAGTCGTACCCTCCTCCAACCTACGACCAAGCTCCCGGCCAACCGGATTACGGACAACAGCCGGGTTACGGACAACAGCCGGGTTATGGACAACAGCCGGGTTATGGACAACAACCACAGTACGGCATGATGCCAAATATGGTACAAACCCAACAAGCGACGTAAGTTATGGACAGCTGTGTACTGTTTGTGCAAGTAGAGGCAAAGCCCGGTAGTCTTCTAAGATGTGTCTCTCGAACTACGTTTAGATCATTGGTGAAACAGCCAATTAATCGGGTCAAAAGTAATGTACGTCTGAACACGCATCGATAGATTTTTAATTCTTATTTATTTATTTATTTATTTATTTATTTATTTATTTATTTATTTCATGTTTGTCCATTAGGTCCAGCGTCTAAACTTTCATGAATTAGCTCTTATTACAATTCTACCTTTACATAGAGGGATGGGGGTTGTGAGTGACCCTCCGAATACAAGTTTTTTTTTTTAATCTAAAGCAAAATGTTACATATGGATTCGTATTTCAATTTGATTTTATTTAACAGTTCAACCAACCAGACCATAGTCATGGCGTCTAATCCCGGATACGGAGGTGGCGGCGCGATCATTGTAAACCAGAGCAGACCGATCAGGCCATCAAGTTACCTGGGCCTCTCCATATTCGTCCTGATGTGCTTTAATCTACCATGCGGCATCATAGCGCTGATATTTTCGAGTGAGTAGATAAGCTTATTCTTCTAGATGCACGTCGAGTTGAGACTTGTTTGTAAATCCGGACTCCGTATCTCGAATGGTTCGCTATGTTGCGCACGTGCGCAACATAGCGAACCTTTCGAGATACGGAGCCCTGTACTCCGAGCTCTGTCTAACGGCGTTGTGAGTTCTATCTCATCTAAACAATGCGGTAGGTGATAGATCACATCTCATTGTGCACACCAATCCACAACAATCGCAACAACTGCATTTTGTAGTCATAGGGCGTATTCCCATAGATTTTAGATCGATCTATCCCCGTGGGGAGTCTCACTAGATTACTGTCAGATAATCTGACTTAAATGTGCGTCCCGCCTACTACAAGCTGTAAGGGGGCAATTAACTTTCGTGCCCGCTCGGCTGACAGCTATTTAGCGTGAACCCCCAGGGAGTTAGGTCGATCTAGTTGGATCGATCTAATCTCTGGGAATGGGGTCATAGATTGAGTTTGTGTATGTATTCATCTATTTGTCTTTCGGTTCATTAACCAATTCACTCTTTTTCTTCATCCACTTTAATAAGATCAGTCAATTTACAAATTGAATGATTGATTTACTGGTGGACTTAAGCTTTTTGAATAGGTGTACATTCCTTTGATATATATTTTTTTCTTTTATAGTTTTGTCCTCGACTGCAGCAGATGAGGAGGACTTCGAAAGCGCTCGTACGAGGGGCAAAGTGGCACTCGGCCTGAATCTGTTCGGTATGATTTCTACAGTGTTGACAGTGGTGATCGTGGTAGCCGTCATTGTCTCAGCTTCGGCCAGAGTAGCAACATCTTACTACTACTACGGGTAGTAAATCCTACGGCGGTTTTAGTTTTTGGAACTGTGAGGGCGGGGTCACCACACTGGGAAGAACAATGCGCACATTGCACGTGCGTTTATTCACTACTAACACTATATACGGACAGTTTTGTTATTTTAGTCAACATTTCATGCAGTTTTCATTTGGATATTTCCAAAATCAGTGATCTTCAAATATTTTCCATATATCCACACATTTTCATCATTGGAATTCTGTTCTACAAGAACAAGTGCCCTTAATTGTGTAATATATTCATCCGAACTTTGTTTACCGCTTATATGTGTGTCTGTAGGATGTTTTTAGAAATATCCCTTTTCTAAAAAGATATAAACATGTGTATTAATCAAGAGGGCAAAAGATGCACATAATTGTGCCATATTATACAGTACANTTTTTTTTTTTTTTGATATATATATATATATATATACGATCGTTGGAAAACACGAGCAAGAAAAAATGCCTTTAGGGCAAAATATTCAATATTGGTGAAATTACCTCTTCGGCTGGACCGTACTGTGGTATCCGTTCGCTCTGGAATTAACTAGCCAGTACAAAAGAAACTATCCAATTATAAGCATTGAATATACAGAACTACGGATTCCATTTCTGGCAATGTCCAATGATAACCCAATAGCCGGCGGACCTTACGTAACATTATCCATAAGATTCTGGCAGAAATTCTGAGCAACTGCTTTTACGAATAAAACACATCGTAAGAACGACATGGATAAATGCAGACTGGACCCCGATGATACATATATACATATATATAGTTGGCTCAAAAGACGTATATTGAATCAAATAGGATTGATAAATGAACGCGTCTAATGTAATAAGTATTTGATATTTGGCATTGGCGCAGCCGCTACATAGTTATTTCTAAAGTAAAGCTTCTTGAGAAAATGTTTATTTGCAGAGAGATTTTCGTCCGAGTTCGAATTCACAAAATTGTTTCATACTTCATTCTAAATAAATCACCGCCACCATATGTTTTTACATCGATATTTGTTGTTAGTGTTATTTGGATAGGAAGTCAGTATACATGTAGCTATTGAACTATTCAAAGTTCTCTCCTTCTTTGTCTTTTTATTTTATTTTTTCAATTTGAAAAGCATGTTGGGTAAAGAAAATCAGTAACCTTTCAGAACGTATTGTTGTTTTCTGGACTGAGGAATGCACACGTTCAAAGACGCGTTGTCGTATAGAGTTAAGGTTTGTTTTCGAAGAATTACATGCGTAATTTCACATAACATTGTGACTAATTGCATTTATCACAATTTTGGAAAAAGAAATGCACTGCCCGGCTGAGTAAAATTATTTACATTACATTTCAAACAAGCGCTATAGATCTTGTATAGATGTGCACATTAACGTGGGCATTTTATTACAACGTAAATGTGATCAATTACTTACTGTTTTTTCATGTTTATGTGTGTGTGTGTGTGTGTGTGTGTGTGTGTGTGTGTGTGTAAAGCATATTCTGTATAATAGCACACCCGTGGACGGTTTCCGATTACATTTCTATCACTGTATTTCGTTTGGAATAAATATGTGCCAAACGATAATGGTGTAATTAGGCCTATCGTTGTGTGAGCATTGCATTACTGCGTCGAGAAAAAATCAATTTGAGGCTGAGAGAGAGAGAGAGAGAGAGAGAGAGTTTAAGATAAGGAGAAGTAAAAAAGGTAAAAAGTGAAAAAATAGGGCGCGATACCACATATATATGTGCAGTGATTGATACGCGTCTCTCTTTGTGATGACATCTAAGTATTGACTCGCCATTTTTCTTAACCTAGGATCAATACCAGGTCTACTGTGCCTCGACCGCTTTACATAGCCACTAGGTCCTTAGTGAATAGTTCTCCTTTCGAAGATAAAATTTGTTTTTGATTCACAAATTTGCCCTTTAAATAGACTCGTGTTCACGGTGAACACGCTATTCTTGCCTGCTCCTACACGGACAATAACACTGCGTGCACTTTTTAGTCTTGTTGATCTTTCTATTGTCTGTTGCCATGGGGACTTCATAAACTAAACCAAAGAAACGGGACGGACCTAATCATTTCACCTGAAGGTTGACGTTTGTCTTGAAGTGCAGGGAAGGGAGAAGCATATTTGAACTGAAAACTGTAAGTTTTTTCTAAAAATGTATTGGTCTGAAACACACCCATCCTAAAGCAAAGGACGTATAAAATAAAACGGGCACTTCTCTGAAATATTTTGAGGGCTGCGTATTCATATTAATAAGAATTTTTGGGTGTGAGGCACAAATAACTGTGGGCCCTACTGGCGGATGGTAAGTTACCCCTTTTTGTCTTTTTCATCTGGACACATTTAGTATCCGACTTGACAAAGGAAGAATGTTTCTTCTTGGTGGAAGGTAGGTATAAATATAGTGTTACGGAGCGCTATTTAATAGTCCGTTTAGTGACCGGATTGAAAACCTTGGTCGTCTGAAATAACAATATTTAAGGACAGAGCGAAATGACCTTAAAAAAGCAAAAAGTACTTTTTCTCTTATAAGGCGTGATAGTCATGTTTATCACATATAGTCTTATGATCATAAATTGAGCAGACGTATTAATTATTTCACTGGAAGGATAAACACTGATATGTAGTTGAACTCATAAGATCACCGTCAAAGAATGGCTGGTAAAATTATGCCATCTACATTGAATTTTGATGCAGTCATGGTAATCTTTTGTTTTAGTTTCCTCATAATTTGTGCAATTTTTATCGTATGAAGGCATAAAATCAATAAATGGATAACAAACACTGTATTGTGTATTGGTATTTGAGGGTTCTCTGATTGTTAGGATGCACTTAAGGGTGAGTTTTTTCAGCCATGGTTGCGGGTCACGTGAACAATGGCTGCACATATATTGATCGTGCAACACTGTCGCAGCCTCTGGTAATCATTATGATAAAAATTAATTTGTCAAGGATAAGGCTTAATTGACCAGAAAGCCAAGAGCCTGTGATGTTAGTGGTGGTACAAATCTGACGTTAGCGTTGCACTTTCTGCCTTTTTGATTAGTCACAACAAGCGGCGGTCAGGACCTAAGCAGAGGTCTCCCGAAAGTATGAAGGGGCAAGATGGTTTTATAAATAATTTTCATTCAGCGTTTTTTTTCTCCTCTCGTATTTTTCATATCCATAAACATCTTGAATTTACTTTTTGCTGTGTGACTACAGATTACTCTTACTCAGACTACAGAAAGTATAGGACCTCAAAGATGAAGCTTAACATTTCAATTATTTTTTGTGCGTCTGACTTTCAAATTTGAGGTCATGTATCAACAGATGTATTACAAAAAGCCATTCAGCCATATTTCCTCCATCTAATGGCAATTCCTTTTTCACTAGGCCTACAAACTAAACGGAAATATTGATAAATATAACTTTTAACGCAACTCCTTCAGCTAAAGTACATTAAAGTAGTATATTTGACTAGTGAAATAAATACTTAATCAAATTATTAATTAGTTATTACTTTTGAGTAAAGAAGACAATGTAATAAAGGAAACTGTTTCTTGTCAGCTTCAGCAAAGTGACGTCACAATGGAAAACCCAAATGACCCCGGAAAGTCGTACCCTCCTCCAACCTACGACCAAACGCCCGGCCAACCGGACTACGGACAACAGCCGGGTTATGGACAACAGCCGGGTTACGGCATGGTACAAACCCAACAAGCGACGTAAGTTAGGGACAGCTGTGTACTGTTTTCGCAATTAGAGGCAATTAAAGTCAGGATGTCTTCTAAGAGGTGTCTCTCGAACTACGTTTAGATAATTGGTGAAACAGCCAATTAACCGGGTCGAAAGTAATCTTCGACTGAACACGCATCGATAAAGAGTTTATTTGAATTCTTATTTATTTATTTATTTATTTATTTATTTATTTATTCACTGAGCTAGTTACTAATTAGTAAATTTGTTTGTCTGTTTGTTGATTTGTTTGTATATCCCTCTATTAGGTCCAGCGTCTAAACTTTCATGTACGTGTATTAGCTCTTATTACAATCTATGGGTGCTTTCCCAGAGATTTAGATCGATCTAGAGATTAAGATTTAGATCGACCTAACTCCCTGGGGGTTCACGCTAAATTGCAGTCAGCCGAGCGGGCACCATAGTTATTTAACCCCTTACAGCTTTAGCAGGCGGGACAGACGCTTAAGCCAGCCAAGCTGACAGTAATCTAGTGAGACTCCCCGCAGGGATAGATCGATCTAAAAATCTATGGAAATGGGGTGTATCTTTACATGGAGGGATGGGGGTTGTGAGTGGCCCTCCGAATATAAGTTTTTAAATTTAAAGCAAAATGTGACATATGGCTTCTTATTTCAATTTAATTTAATTTAACAGTTCAAATAACCAGACCATCGTCATGGCGTCTAATCCCGGATACGGAGGTGGCGCAATCGTTGTAAACCAGAGCAATCCGATCAGGCCAGCAAGTTACCTGGCCCTCTCCATTTTCGTCCTGATGTGCTGTAATCCACCATGCGGCATCATTGCGTTGATATTTTCGAGTGAGTAGATAGGCTTATTCTTCTAGATGCACGTTGAGTTGAGACTTGTTCGTAAAATCCGCACTGCGCGCAGACGGTTCTATGTCTGACGGCAATTGCGTTATGAGTTCTATCTCCTCTGCACAATGCGGTAGGTGATCATCCCTCTCATATCTCATTGCGTGCACCATTTGACAGTAATCGCAACAACAGCATTTCTTACATGCAGGTTGAGTTTGTGTCTGTAATCATCTGTTTGTCTTTCCGTTCAGTAACCAATTCATTTTTTCCTTCATCCACTCAAACGAGATCAATCGATTGATATAATAATTGAGTTACTGACTGTTATCAGGTTTTTTGAATAGCTGTACATACCTTTTTTTCTTTTATAGTTTTGTCCTCGACTGCAGCAGATGAGGAGGATTTCGAAAGCGCTCGTACAAGGGGCAAAGTGGCACTCGGCCTGAATCTGTTCGGTATGATTTCTACAGTGTTGACTGTGGTGATCTCGGTGGCCGTCTTAGTCACAGCTACAACTAGGTACATCTACGGGTAGTAAATCCTACGGCGGTTTTAGTTTTTGGAACTGTGAGGGCGGGGTCACCACAATGGGAAGAACAATGCATACATTGCGCGTGCGTTTATTCACTACTAACATTATATACGGACAGTTTTGTTATTTTAGTCAACATTTCATGCAGTTTTCACTTGGATATTTCCAAAACCAGTAATCTTCGAATATTTTCCATATATCCACACATTTTCATCATTGGAATTCTGTTCTACAAGAACAAGTGCCCTTAATTGTGTAATATATTCATCCGAACTTTGTTTACCACTTATATGTGTGTCTGTAGGATGTTTTTAGAAATATCCCTTTTCTAAAAAGATATCTTCATGTGTTTTAATCAAGAGCAAGGTGCTCATTATTGTGCCATGTGATACATAAATATACTTAGGTTTTATATTTTTATTTTGTATCTATACACGTTGCTTGTATTAAACGCTTTAAACTATAAATTGCAGTGCCGTATTTTTCCTGTAATTACGATACAACAGTTATGTTTTGTATTGTCCTAGGATGCTATTTTTCTTATAAAGGGGCCCGCACACGGTGAGCATTTGGTGCGCGCCACTTGCGCTGCGCCAGATGCTCGCGCTCCTCAGCTCCCCGCAAACGATGCGCTCTTTGCTCAGCAGAGGTGCCTCCCGGCCTGCCCCTAGCGGACGCACTGTGAACTGTGGGATCATGTGTTTAAGGAAACATTACATATTGTTGTTTTTTCTGATAGTAATGGATAATGGTGACTACGTTAATCAATCAGACTAACTATAACTGTGTACATTTTTGTTGACTTCGCTGGGGGCTGACATTTTTGTTTGTTTCCGGCTACTGGCACATGCGCATTGTTAGCATGGCGTGAGCAATCGGCGCTTGCACCCCGCACACGCTGAGACATTTGCCTCAAGAGACAAAAAAAATCAAACACGTGAGAAATTTTGCTCAGCCGCGCATGAGGCAAAAATCTCACCAAAATACCCCCGCACACGATGAGAAAACGGCGCAGCGCAAGTGGCGCGCGCCAAATGCTCACCGTGTGCGGGCCCCTTAAGAAATAAAATCGACAAATTTTAGACGGGACCCTGCGTATAGTTTTTTTTTTTTTTTTTTTTTTTTTTTTAACACAAACACGTTTTAAAACATGCAATGCGCGGTAGACCTAAAATACATGAATAAAAAGATTTAGGAAAATTCAGCATTTTTTTCCTTTTTAATAGTTTACCACCCTGAGCAGCCCTCTGCGATTTCCTCTGTGGGGTCTTCCTTGCCCAGTGCGCTTGGGCACCAGTCAAGGTTATGGCCTCTTTGCAACCCCACAAACGAAATTTGTGCAAAATTGCTTGAAAATGATAACTTTTGCTGACTCGTCTCATCATTATTTTTAGGATGATGAGTCTTAGTTAATATTTCATATTTAATCTTTATCCCTAAGGCCATAACATTTAATGCAGGCAACAATTTGCCACATTGTTATTATTGTTAAAATTATTAGGATAGTGAGTTTATTTAATAAAAGCGGCCTTGTTTGGCCAAATCACGAACACCCGATAGTCTTTGTTGCATTCTCTTTTGCTATGAACGGGAATATGCAAGTTTGTGATGCACTGGGATGGAGGAGACATAAAAATACTTTANTTTGTTTTTTTTTTTTTTTTTTTATATACGATCGTTGGAAAACACGAGCAAGAAAAAATGCCTTTAGGGCAAAATATTCAATATTGGCGAAATTACCTCTTCGGCTGGACCGTACTGTGGTATCCGTTCGCTCTGGAATTAACTAGCCAGTAGAAAAGAAACTATCCAATTATAAGCATTGAATATACAGAACTACGGATTCCATTTCTGGCAATGTCCAATGATAACCCAATAGCCGGCGGACCTTACGTAACATTATCCATAAGATTCTGGCAGAAATTCTGAGCAACTGCTTTTACGAATAAAACACATCGTAAGAACGACATGGATAAATGCAGACTGGACCCCGATGATACATATATACATATATATATAGTTGGCTCAAAAGACGTATATTGAATCAAATAGGATTGATAAATGAACGCGTCTAATGTAATAAGTATTTAATATTTGGCATTGGCGCAGCCGCTACATAGTTATTTCTAAAGTAAAGCTTCTTGAGTAAATGTTTATTTGAAGAGAGATTTTCGTCCGAGTTCGAATTCACAAAATTGTTTCATACTTCATTCTAAATAAATCACCCCATATGTTTTTACATCGATATTTGTTGTTGCTGTTGCTGTTATTTGGATATGAAGTCAGTATAGCTATTGAACTATTCAAAGTTCTCTCCTTCTTTGTCTTTTTATTTTATTTTTCAATTTGAAAAGCATGTTGGGTAAAGAAAATCAGTAACCTGACAGAACGTATTGTTGTTTTCTGGACTGAGGTATGCACACGTTCAAAGACGCGTTGTCGTATAGAGTTAAGGTTTGTTTTCGAAGAATTACATGCGTAATTTCACATAACATTGTGGCTAATTGTATTTATCACAATTTTGGAAAAAGAAATGCACTGCCCGGCTGAGTAAAATTATTTACATTACATTTCAAACAAGCGCTATAGATCTTGTATAGATGTGCACATTAATGTGGGCATTTTATTACAACGTAAATGTGATCAATTACTTACTGTTTTTTCATGTTTATGTGTGTGTGTGTGTGTGTGTGTGTGTAAAGCATATTCTGTATAATAGCACATCCGTGGACGGTTTCCGATTACATTTCTATCACTGTATTTCGTTTGGAATAAATATGTGCCAAACGATTATGGTGTAATTAGGCCTATCGTTGTGTGAGCATTGCATTACTGCGTCGAGAAAAAATCAATTTGAGGCTGAGAGAGAGAGAGAGAGAGAGAGAGAGAGAGAGTTTAAGATAAGGAGAAGTAAAAAAGGTAAAAAGTGAAAAAATAGGGCGCGATACCACATATATATGTGCAGTGATTGATACGCGTCTCTCTTTGTGATAACATCTAAGTATTGACTCGCCATTTTTCTTAACCTAGGATCAATACCAGGTCTACTGTGCCTCGGCCGCTTTACATAGCCACTGGGTCTTCAGTGAATAGTTCTCCTTTTGAAGATAAAATTTGTTTTTGATTCACAAATTTGGCCCTTTAAATAGACTTGTGTTGACGTCGAACACGCAATTCTTGCCTGCTCCTACACGGACAATAACACTGCGTGCACTTTTTAGTCTTGTTGACCTTTCTATTGTCTGTTGCCATGGGGACTTCATAAACTAAACCAAAGAAACGGGTCGGACCTAATCATTTCACCTGAAGGTTGACGTTTGTCTTGAAGTGCAGGGAAGGGAAAAGCATATTTGAACTGAAAACTGTAAGTTTTTTCTAAAAATGTATTGGTCTGAAATACACCCATCCTAAAGCAAAGGGCGTATAAAATAAAACGGGCACTTCTCTGAAATATTTTGAGGGCTGCGTATTCATATTAATAAGAATTTTTGGGTGTGAGGCATAAATAACTGTGGGACCTACTGGCGGACGGTAAGTTACCCCTTTTTGTCTTTTTCATCTGGACACATTTAGTATCCGACTTGACAAAGGAAGAATTTTTCTTCTTGGTGGAAGATAGGTATAAATATAGTGTTACGGAGCGCTATTTAATAGCCCGTTTAATGACCGGATTGAAAACCTTGGTCGTCTGAAATAACAATATTTAAGGACAGAGCGAAATGACCTTAAAAGAGCAAAAAGTACTTTTTCTCTTATAAGGCGTGATAGTCATGTTTATCACATATAGTCTTATGATCATAAATTGAGCAGATGTATTTATTATTTCACTGGAAGGATAAACACTGATATGTAGTTGAACTCATAAGGTCACCGTCAAAGAATGGCTGGTAAAATTATGCCATCTACAGTGCATTGAATTTTGATGCAGTCTTTGTAATCTTTGGTTTAGTTTCCTCATAATTAGTGCAATTTTTATTGTATGAAGGCATAAAATCAATAAATGGATAACAAACACTGTATTGTGTATTGGTATTTGAGGGTTCTCTGATTATTAGGATGCACTTAAGGGTGAGTTTTTTCAGCCATGGTTGCGGGTCACGTGAACAATGGCTGCACATATATTGATCGTGCAACACTGTCGCAGCCTCTGGTAATCATTATGATAAAAATTAATTTGTCAAGGATAAGGCTTAATTGACCAGAAAGCCAAGAGTCTGTGATGTTAGTGGTGGTACAAATCTGACGTTAGCGACGCACTTTCTGCCTTTTTGATTAGTCACAACAAGCGGCGGTCAGGACCTAAGCAGAGGTCTCCCGAAAGTATGAAGGGGCAAGATGGTTTTATAAATAATTTTCATTCAGCGTTTTTTTTTCTCCTCTCGTATTTTTCATATCCATAAACATCTTGAATTTACTTTTTGCTGTGTGACTACAGATTACTCTTACTCAGACTACAGAAAGTATAGGACCTCAAAGATGAAGCTTAACATTTCAATTATTTTTTGTGCGTCTGACTTTCAAATTTGAGGTCATGTATCAACAGATGTATTACAAAAAGCCATTCAGCCACATTTCCTCCTTCTAATGGCAATTCCTTTTTCACTAGGCCTACAAACTACACGGAAATATTGATAAATATAACTTTTAACGCAACTCCTTCAGCTAAAGTACATTAAAGTAGTATATTTGACTAGTGAAATAAATACTTAATCAAATTATTAATTAGTTATTACTTTTGAGTAAAGAAGACAATGTAATAAAGGAAACTGTTTCTTGTCAGCTTCAGCAAAGTGACGTCACAATGGAAGACCCAAATGACCCCGGAAAGTCGTACCCTCCTCCAACCTACGACCAAACGCCCGGCCAACCGGACTACGGACAACAGCCGGGTTATGGACAACAGCCGGGTTACGGCATGGTACAAACCCAACAAGCGACGTAAGTTAGGGACAGCTGTGTACCGTTTTCGCAATTAGAGGCAATTAAAGTCAGGATGTCTTCTAAGAGGTGTCTCTCGAACTACGTTTAGATAATTGGTGAAACAGCCAATTAACCGGGTCGAAAGTAATCTTCGACTGAACACGCATCGATAAAGAGTTTATTTGAATTCTTATTTATTTATTTATTTATTTATTTATTTATTTATTTATTTATTCACTGAGCTAGTTACTAATTAGTAAATTTGTTTGTCTGTTTGTTGATTTGTTTGTATATCCCTCTATTAGGTCCAGCGTCTAAACTTTCATGTACGTGTATTAGCTCTTATTACAATCTATGGGTGCTTTCCCAGAGATTTAGATCGATCCAGAGATTAAGATTTAGATCGACCTAACTCCCTGGGGGTTCACGCTAAATTGCAGTCAGCCGAGCGGGCACCATAGTTATTTAACCCCTTACAGCTTTAGCAGGCGGGACAGACGCTTAAGCCAGCCAAGCTGACAGTAATCTAGTGAGACTCCCCGCAGGGATAGATCGATCTAAAAATCTATGGAAATGGGGTGTATCTTTACATGGAGGGATGGGGGTTGTGAGTGGCCCTCCGAATATAAGTTTTTAAATTTAAAGCAAAATGTGACATATGGCTTCTTATTTCAATTTAATTTAATTTAACAGTTCAAATAACCAGACCATCGTCATGGCGTCTAATCCCGGATACGGAGGTGGTGGCGCAATCATTGTAAACCAGAGCAATCCGATCAGGCCAGCAAGTTACCTGGCCCTCTCCATTTTCGTCCTGATGTGCTGTAATCCACCATGCGGCATCATTGCGTTGATATTTTCGAGTGAGTAGATAAGCTTATTCTTCTAGATGCACGTTGAATTGAGACTTGTTCGTAAAATCCGCACTGCGCGCAGACGGTTCTATGTCTGACGGCAATTGCGTTATGAGTTCTATCTCCTCTGCACAATGCGGTAGGTGATCATCCCTCTCATATCTCATTGCGTGCACCATTTGACAGTAATCGCAACAACAGCATTTCTTACATGCAGGTTGAGTTTGTGTCTGTAATCATCTGTTTGTCTTTCCGTTCAGTAACCAATTCATTTTTTCCTTCATCCACTCAAACGAGATCAATCAATTGATATAATAATTGAGTTACTGACTGTCTTCAGGTTTTTTTAATAGCTGTACATACCTTTTTTTTCTTTTATAGTTTTGTCCTCGACTGCAGCAGATGAGGAGGATTTCGAAAGCGCTCGTACGAGGGGCAAAGTGGCACTCGGCCTGAATCTGTTCGGTATGATTTCTTCAGTGTTGACTGTGGTGATCGTGGTGGTCGTCTTAGTCACAGCTACAGCTACGTTCATCGGGTAGTAAATCCTACGGCGGTTTTAGTTTTTGGAACTGTGAGGGCGGGGTCACCACACTGGGAAGAACAATGCATACATTGCGCGTGCGTTTATTCACTACTAACATTATATACGGACAGTTTTGTTATTTTAGTCAACATTTCATGCAGTTTTCAATTGGATATTTCCAAAACCAGTAATCTTCGAATATTTTCCATATATCCACACATTTTCATCATTGGAATTCTGTTCTACAAGAACAAGTGCCCTTAATTGTGTAATATATTCATCCGAACTTTGTTTACCGCTTATATGTGTGTCTGTAGGATGTTTTTAGAAATATCCCTTTTCTAAAAAGATATCTTCATGTATTTTAATCAAGAGCAAGGTGCTCATTATTGTGCCATGTGATACATAAATATACTTAGGTTTTATATTTTTATTTTGTATCTATACACGTTGCTTGTATTAAACGCTTTAAACTATAAATTGCAGTGCCGTATTTTTCCTGTAATTACGATACAACAGTTATGTTTTGTATTGTCCTAGGATGCTAAAATCGACAAATTTTAGACGTGACCTGCGTATAGTTTTTTTTTTTTTAACACAAACACGTTTTAAAACATGCAATGCGCGGTAGACCTAAAATACATGAATAAAAAGATTTAGGAAAATTCAGCATTTTTTTCCTTTTTAATAGTTTACCACCCTGAGCTTCAGAGATAACTTGACACTAACCTCTTCACTGTAGCCTATCTTCATCGTGTCAAGTTACACGAAGATAGGCTACAGTGAAGAGGTTAGTGTCAAGTTATTTCTGAAGATCAGGGTGTAGTTTACTAGAAATGAGTTTTAATTGCAATCCGAAGGTTGAAAGGTTGAAGTTGTACAATCATCTGCGAGAGTCCCCGTGGAGTTACAGCTCAATATTTAAGTCGATAAAATTCATTGTGAACGGGTCTAAGAATCCAAATTTGACAATTTACGCAATGAAGATAGAATCTGTTGATCTCAAAAACAGGTGAATACACCATAATTTTTCAAAGATTTTTAACAGACAGACAGACAGTCAAACAGACAGACAGACAGACAGACAAATACGGAGATACTGTGCATTTCCCTGTCAACATAATACCATGTCAAATGCACTGGTGATAAAGGACCGGAATATTGGTACAAATTTTTTGCATAAGTATCTGTATAACTTTAAGTTATATAACAAGGAATTTTTATGAAATCGAGCCAGCAGTACGTGATTTAGGCATTGGTTGAGTAATTGACTTTCTCTTACTAGTGAATCCACTCCAATCTATGCAGATATTGAGAATCCCCCTCTCTGTATATCAGCCTGAACGAAGACAAAAAGCGAAATCGACCAAAACGCAGGTTTTAAAATGTCTATTTTGAACAGATAAGTATCATTTGCATAACATCTGATATCACAGTGGTGATTGATTAGCACTATAGCATTATATACATGTATATTATTTTCTAAACGCGTGCTAGAAAACAGGAGTCAAAATTAGAGATTACGGGGGTTATTAAAGGCGACAGGCGATTATCACTGTACTGTTCCTTTCATAAATACTGTAATATAAGTTGGTCCAAAAGGCTCAGTTCTGAATCATCTGCATCCCGGTGGGACACCTGGCTGATCCTTATTTTTACACCTGTCTCGCAATACAACCCTGGAGAAAAAAATGAACGTTTTTTTACAACTCATCTCGCAGCCCTTACCGAAGTGTCCTCCAGGGTTCTACACGCCGTCCTAGTGGAAGTTGGCCCGAAAGCCTTCAGGGCCAAACATACAATGTATATACAATACTGGACAGATGTATCCTATAGGACGTCTGATAAAATTCCTATAGAGTCCCATAGAGTCCTGTAAGACTGTAAAAAATATTTGTAAGGGAAGGTAAAGTAACAGAGGGAAGAACTGTCAGTAAAAAAAAAAGAAAAAAAAAGAAAAACAGCACTTCATCGACTTATTCTGGGGAGAATAATTATGATTTAAACATGGCATAAAGTACAGAGTTTCCACTTCATGCACGTGTCAAACTGGGCCCTTTTAATAAGAAAAATCTGAATTGTCTACCGTGACTTTTGATCCCACTATTGATTAAAACTCGCATAATCTCGCTTGACTTCAGACGAGGTAACGAGACTTCGGGCTATCCCGGAAGTTTCCACTGTGTTTGCAAATGGAATTTGTCAACTTCAAATGCGTCATGAGACGCCTCGTGAAACAGTTGTTATTAAGCAAATATAAGGGATTTTACAACCTTCGGCGCTTATTTGTCCATGGATTTGCGTTTAAGGCCGATTGGCGTTATAAAATAACGTAATCCCTCGACACTGTTTAAGTCTGCGTTTGCATAGGATGCGACCATAAATTGTTAGTCAGAACAATTCAGCTTATCATCGCCATTATCCAGTATTTATTTAAATTGACGGGTATGAATTTATCAATACCTGCTGACTTCCGCCTTTTCTTAATGTTACCTATATATAGCTCTCCAAACAGATTGTCGTCCATTGTGTTGCACAATGAAATCCATTTGCGGCTAACGCTCTGCGTGTTGTCTTTTACGTTCGATAGATTTTTGTTGAAGAAGGGTCAAGACCCTGCGACACATTTTTGATCTGTGGCCATATCTATAATCTACAATCCAGTAGCTGCCCAGGGTAACAAAACGTGAGCAACTTCGCTTGTTAAAGACAGGGCGGCGCCTGGTGACTTGAACAACTCAGGTAATATCACAAAAAATTGATGTACGTTCTTTTCAGCCTTTTTTGTCTTTTTGTTTCTATACTTTTTATTTAATCCTTTTTTGCTTAGATAGATTTTGTTAGCAAAAGAAGCAAGAGGGGCGCATTGGCTAGATTTTTATTAAAAATTCAAAAAAGCATTTTGACGGTTCAAAGACAATTGATTTAAACCTCGTGAAGCAGATATTTAGTACATGTACTACCCTGTAATTGGGGTGGATTCACGCAATTGTTCATTCTTCATTTTCCAGTGACGATTGCAATAACGACTTTTATCTTATCAATAGTTTTATTTTCACATATCAGACTTAATACTTTTTATTATTATTGATTATTATTATTATTATTATTGGTATTATTATTTCATTTTATACCACTTACTTAAACAGAATATAATTTCTAACGTACAATTTACATACACATCAGCTTATTAAAATATTATTATCATTACTTGTTTGAAGAAGAGAAATGTAAACGAATAATCGCGATAAGGCTCAATGGAATAATGCAAAATTTTGTAAATCGATTTTAAAATGGAGTGGAAATATCAATATGAAGACAACATTTGCATAGCCAATCAATAAAAATTTCGATATGAAAGTGAAGTAAACTTATCATTTTCTGCCTGTCAGCATTGTTATTATTGTCGTTGTCTAAACACTGTGATAAAGTACAGGTACGGTTATAGTGGCATATCAGGCTCCCTGCTATTGCCATGATGGCCACAGAAAAGCCTTTTAAAGTACCACAGTTACAGAATATTCGTTTTTGTTTAAGAAAGACAGAGACAAAAATGGAAAAAAGTTTGTGGCTGAAATAATGCCGTTTTTTATATCATATACAGTTGTTGTACAGAAAACACGACAGCAAAATTATATAGAGCAAAACAAAATTGTGCGAATATGCAGTACGTACCACGGGCCATTTTATGTTCTGTGAAAAAGCAAAGCTCCGACTGATGAAGCCTTTTCACAAATTGGTCAGGTGCGTGTGAAAGATCACGCTAAGGCCACAGTATGGCCAGTATGACCGGTATAAGGGTTTGTGTGACAGAGGGCCACCTTCCACTTAATTATACAGGTAAGGGATAGCCGGACGTAGGTGGGTCAAAATCTAGGGCGAGGAACCTGTACAAAAGAATAGAAGAGGGCTCTCTGTCATGGGGGACTCTCTGTAACGTCACTCACGTGTGTCTTGTAATTACAGGTCACAATGTCCGTCGAGGTGCCGTGTTCCGATGTGAAGCCGGACTCCCTGTCTCTGTATGGCCAAGTAAGACGAGGGCGGTACTCCCTCCCGCAGCTGTACGGGGAGGCGGAGGAAGTGACTTTTGGAGACCGACCCATCTACTGCCAACCTTTCACGTGCGGGCAGCAAGCTATGCATGACTTAAAACCCGGCTACGGTCCACTCCCTGGACAAACTGCCTATAGGTAAAATACTGATTAAACAAGAACCGAAAACCAGTATGACTTGCGGCACAAGATAGCGAAATTATATAGAAATGTCCTTGTTAAATGATCGGCTGATGGTTCGAACTTGTCTGATCGCAGCTAAAGGTACGGACTGTTCAGACTAGCGCTAGCGTAGACCGATAACCGCCTTCCAACACACCCTCAGATGACAGAGATCTCCGACTCATTAATTGTTCCTCAGACGCATTTAAATACCTGTTTTATCAATGTGGTCGTCTAACAGCACGCATTTGACCGACTTCTGAAAAATTCCAAAGCAACCTCTCTCTAAATAATTCATCATACAGTATACTGCAATAATGTCTGGATTGAAATGTACTTACAAGGAAGAAAAGACACACAACGAATATTAGACCTTTAGTTGGCCAAAAAAAAAAATATATATATATATATATATATATATATATAAATTGTCCTGGAAATTTCTATACCTTCTTTTTTTTCATTTATACCAAGGATCACCACCAGATCTAAAGCCGTTCACAGAATTCCAAGCCATAAACCATTTTAATCTTAAATGTTTATCTAACTATTTAAATCATTCTAGTAATGAAAAAAGACCGATTCATTTTCATTTATTTTCTAGGCATTTTATTTTTTGAAATCGTTTAAATCAGAGTACTTCTGTACCGTGACACGCTTAAAAGCTAAACCTGCTTTCTTCACCATGTCGATAACTAGCAAATAACGTTACCAGCAGCCGGATAAGCCCTAGAAGAATAATCAATGCTTTCTTGTTTTAAATAATTAGAAACCCGCTAACGTCTCGGTTAAGTGTATTTCCTCTCTTTAATGCGTCACCTCTAGGAACTACTCGGCACGACCAGTTGTGGTTGACCTGGATCTACTTTGCCGGCTTTTAATCCTATACGTTGTACCTGCGGTTAAGGAATTGATTGGTGGGGCTCTTCACGCTGTGTGTGCAAGTTAGGTCTCTATGTGGAAGCGGTCAGAATTCATGTTTCACATGCGCAGAATTACAACTTTGTTGACATGTTTCTGGAGAGTTTACTTAAAGCCTGAAACGCCGTGTGTAAGATGTTTCAAGCACTTACATATGCAGATATTGATTTTTTCAAGGTTTACTGACTTCTATTAACACGTTGATACATGTACTCACTAGGCTCTAGGTGGAGAGGAGGAAGGGCGAAGGGGGCACAATAAGTCACACAAATAAGCAATATACAGGATTAAACACACACACACACACACACACACACATACACACATGCACACACACATACACACATGCACAGTTAATTCACAGGTGCCGATCTTTTCTTCTTTCCTTCCCACAAAAAAAAAACATTATTACAAAAGTAAGTAATTTTGTACCCTCCCCCTAAAAATTAATAAGACATAGATAAATGAATAAAATAATGGGGGGGGGGGGCAAGAGGATATGGGCATTTGAATCTACATAATACAAAATTCTGCTGTAAATGTATCGGTTTGTTGTTATTCAAATAAACCGGTATGTTGTTTTGAAATATACAGGTATGTTATCTTTTAAATATACCGGAAAGTTGTCATTTATACCGACATGCTGTTATTAAAAAATACTGGAAAGTTGTCAGTTAATAAACCCATATGTTGTCTTTCAAATAACCGGAAAGCTGTCATTTAAATATACCGGTATGTTGTCATTTAAATATACCAGAGATTTGTCATTTTAATATACCGGTAAGTTGTCTTTTGAATTTACCGATATGTTGACATTTGAATTAACGTGTATGTTATCTTTTCCAGTACTGGTCTTCAAGGAACGGTTGTCATGACAGCCCAGTCACGTGTCGGCCCAAGTGCTTTGATAGTGACACACCAGCAGCAACCTCAGAGCTACATATCTCTGTCGATTTTCGTGATGCTGTGCTGTAATGTTTTATTCGGGCTGATTGCGGTTGTCTTCTCCAGTAAGTGTCACAGCTAATGCAATCAACCAAATGACCAACGTGCCCGTTATAGCACACAACTGCCCTCTAGCGGCAAAAGAACAATGAACGTGATAATGCTTTACATCAGCTGATCAGTTGAAATCATGGATATCAAAAGTAAGACAATTCTTGGACCCCCTCCCCCCTCTTGTGCAAAAATTTGTGAATTAAAGAAAACAAAATATGCAATTTGATCGCCAGAGGACGATAGTGTCTGCTGGGAAATAATATATATATAAAATCTATAATTGTCCCCGTAGTCTGGCCTATAAGAAACTATTATTCGTTTTGCAGCATGCTATAATTCTTTGGGCTACTGGCATGATTTAAAACATTTAATCGTTGTCTTAGCATTAATAGCGGGTTTAGGATTGATTTATGAATTGGATACAGTCTGAGCTTCTATAATTAATGAATAATTAGTCAACATAATGAATATTCTACTAGTATTATCGTATTAATATCCTTCAAAAATAGTAAGATGTTTTGAAATATGGAAATATCGTAACAGCGTTAACACTGTTTTTTATCTTTTTCAGTCCAATCCGACAATGCTGCTCACATATATGACCATTCCGGGGCGCGGACGAAGGGGAAAATTGCCCTTTTTTTCAACACGGTCGGCATCGTATCGTCCCTTATTGCAGTCACGGTTGTCGTGTCTTACGTCATCTCAAGGGGGAATGTGACAAATACGAATAGATGGTGACGTCATTGCCGGAATTATACCAGAGTTACGGGGACAATAATCTATAAGCTGAGAAAACGAGATGAGCTACAAATGTTCACAGGTTACTAAAATACGTAACATACGTAATTATTAAAAAGGCTGTTTATATAAATTGGGTCCCTTCTTATAGGCGGTTATTCCTCTTTTCGGTTAAAAAAAGGGCTGCTTATATTAGAATTTCTCCTTGGCCCTGGGCACTGCTCCCGATTCTGGTGTTGACTGTTTCTATGGAAACCCGGGTTTTGGTGCGTTGCCTGTCAGAAATGCTACAGACAAGGGTCTCGTATGACGTCACATCTGTCAAAGAATTTATGAAGCATGTCCTCATTGCACGAAACTGGTCTCATGGGGACGACCAGTGCTGACACCTGGTGGCACAAGGTGCTTTGTGCGATGCCGAGGAATACCGAGTGATGCCGAGCGATGCCGAGGTATCACAAACATTTCGGAGCCAGCAGCAAAGTGCATCTGTGGAGACGACCAGTGCTGACATCTTGCGGCACAAGGTGCTTTGTGAGATGCCGAGGAATACCGAGCAATGACGAGCGATGCCGAGGCATCACAGACATTTCGGAGCCAGCAGCACTGTTCTTGTCCAGCGCACCACATGTACAGACTGTGCATATTGCTAGTTTGAGACCTGTGCTAGAGGACATTTTATTCATCGTCGTTTATGATGTGTTGACGTCATCGTTCTGTGTGGTCACGTGAATCTTGACGAGTCACGTGAATCTTGAAGCCAATTTTGCTGTCTTGAAGGCGATTTTGCCGTCTTGAACTAAATTTTATCTTGCGCTGATATTCTGTTGTTTAGAATGAAAATTTCCGATTTGAAGCTATTTTTCAAATCTAGACGATGGAAATGTATGAATTGAGACAAAATATTTGTGTCTTGAACGTATTTTTGATGTCTTGAAGGAAATTTTCCCGTCTTGAATTTTTTCCGCTTTGGCGTGCCATAGGCAACAGCAAACGGCAGTGAATAGAGCTTAAATAATATTTAGTCTTTTTTATTTTCTAAGATTTGTAACGCAGTGTATACAACTCTGTAACCACATTGCCTGCATGACCCAAGACATGTGTTCCACTTTTGTAACTTGGAAATTATTTCTTTAACATTGCTATCGCCATCTATAACAAGGCTTTTGTGACATCTGTCACAGCGATTTATTTTTGTTATTTATGTCAATAGTTATTTTTGTCAATAGCTGTAAGTAATAATTGAAATTAGCAACTAATATTTCGTATGCCCACAGTCAGACTTCATTAGGCTATTATTGTCATCGACTATTTACAAATGCAGCTATATTTGTTTATTGGAAACACAAAGGATATGAAACGGCTCAGCATGTTATTAAAAGAATTGTCATATATTTCTTATTTTCAAATATTCCATCCTTTTAGCAATAATGCTTTGCACTGCAACCTGAGTTTCCAATTACATTGTTTATTGCTACTAGTAGATCTAATCACGCGTAAGTGAGCCAATAATTGCGAAATGATGGAAACACTTGAAACCCTTGCTTCAACAATCTGTACGTGTCTTTGTTACTCCACTTCTACTTCTACTCCCACTCGGTGTAATTTCTTCCCCTACGCGCATTTTTTATAGATTCAGTCTACTGGTATTAAGTCCAATCTAAAGATATAAAGTATCTCTGTCACTGGCGTCCGTCATTTTACGGAATCTGATTGGATTTATGAAACGCAACATTGCAAGTTATTGCCAGGAACCAAAGTAGAAGAGAGCAAACATGTTCGAATGGATCCTAGGCTAATTCACCCTCACCCCCACTCCGACGATCCCACCCCCCTCCCCCAAGACAACCCCCACCTTCCCAGGAAAGAAAATACACTGCTTTGGTTAAATATTTGAGATTTTCATACAATTCTTGAATATTCGACGTTTTCGTCTCCTTTCTAATACTAAAATATTAGAAAGGAGACAGAAAATGAAATAAAAACAAAAGTAGCTATTAATTACACTGAACAAATATAAACGCACGAAACTAAAATTATACTAAAATATGCTGTTATTGTTGGCTATATACTCTACTTCGATACACGAAAATAAATCTACATATTCCTTCCTGCGTTTATATTTTTGTTCAGTGTACAAGATTCAGGAAGTTCACTTACGCTCATGAACAGACCAGATAGGTAAATTTAAATAATAAGATGCTATAGATAAAAATTTTGTAAATTTGCCATTACATGTAATTTTTAAGAAACATATGATATACTTATAGTATCATTTTTCTAAAAGCAAGCATAGTTATTTTATTTGCATTTTGACGTTAATGAGTTTTATAAATAACAGGCTTAGTATTTTATAATAATAATGAACCTAGAAAAAGAAAATAAGGTTCGAAGATTGGTTATTTCTGGGGTAGTGGAAAACAGTGGATTCATTTACTCCACCATAACCTGGGGTTACACCTTGATTAAAGGCAATTCTTCTGCAGGCTACGGGTAAAATACCTAAAGGGTATTTTTTTTATTTTAGAATAGTGAATGATCGATAACAAGCAATTCATATGAATCATGACATAATTTTACGCCGTGTGATGCCAATGAAAGGCATTCATTTTATATCGGTCACACACACGCACACATATATAATAACAGTAGATGTTTTTGTACCTAAGGCAATCTCAACATTGTTCGAAGAACTACAAGTACAGTTCAAGTCGTTGTTTACTATCTTGTCACGATATAGCGCAATTGCTCTAGCTTGTTTATGACGATATATGCCCATTTTTGTACTATAAGTAAACATGGAATATAAAACCACCAGGTTAAGTATTTTAACGACTTCTTTCAAGTATTATTTTCTAAACTTGTACATTCAAGTTTATGGAAATAAAGGAATAGATGATCTACTAACTCATTTGATTCATAAATTGATAGCGAATGTATGTTGTGATGCAACCAACAGGAATTAAACAAATGAACTTTCAAGCTACTCAATATCAGTGATGAGTGATGATGTCAGCATTTTTTTCTTTTTTTCTTTTCAAATTCTCGCTGAGTAGTACCGAAAAGTGCGAAGAATTAGCCAGAGGATTATTTTTGATTATTCAGTGCTGAAATCAATTAGTGGTCTAAAAATAGAGGATGGTCGCATTACAACATCTACTTGTTGCATACAGTAGTATTGTAGAGCTGCTTGCTGTAACTTTCCATGTCTGGGATATTCCAAATCCTTCGTTTGTTTAATTGATTTGACTTCTCTCAATACTAAGAGTACAAAAGTACATGTGTTCAAAAAGCTTCTTTTGTCCTTTCTTACAATGAGCACTCCAAAATGAAGTCTTTGTATTTTCTTAGGTTTACTCTGAGTTTATGAAAATGGTAAATACAATACTTAATTATTGCCAAAAAAATCTTAAACTGTATCAGTAAAACATTATTTCTATCACACCTAAGTTTATTATTCTATATTCGCGAACAAGATACAAAAAAGTATGTATTCTAAATAAATAAAGACTGGTTTAGTATTATTAAATAAAGTGAGCTCTCTTTTTTAATTATAAGCCTGACTCCTGCCATAAACATAGATAAAACTGACGGGAAAAAAATAAAAGTTTCATAACTTTTTACTTTAAAAATTCCTTTTTACATTTTTGGAGAATATTCGTTAACTTATAGATACCTGTCTATCCAGGTATGGTAATACTACTTTGTCGGAACTTCTTGAAGCTTTGTGTCAAATAATCTTCATCAGCTTCATTCCACAGAATTCCAGATATGTTACTTGTACTGCTCACTGCAGCACGATGGATATTTCAAAACGACTAACATTATGAAAAGAGGTTGTGGAAAATACGAAAAAAGACCAAAAAACATTTGTTCAAAGACGTTGCAGTAAGCCACATAATTTGACAATAACGCATCAGGGGACTAATATGACATTGACTACGCCCCAAATTACAAACGACAGTCAGATCCGTCTTTGCAAATGGTTAAAGGATTTGCGTCTTGCCGTCAGAATGGCCTGAACGGAACATATTCTTCAGAAAACATGCCCAACTAACGATATCTTTATCCAAATACACAAATTAAAAGCTCATTTTGTAAATCTTTGGCTTTAAAAAACGTCCTATTTGCTCGGCCTGGGAGTTAATGAGCTAAGTGGTCATGTGGTCCGATGACAACAATCGAGCCACTGACTCCTGCCAAAACCACAAAATCGACGAAAATATAAAATAAAAATTTCATAATTTTTTACTTAAAAACTACCTTTTTACGTTTTTTAGAGAATATTCGTGAACTTAGATACCTGTCTATCCAGCGTTTGATATGGTAAAGCTACTTTCAATGAAGAAATGAAATTTGTCCGAACTTCTTGAAGGTATGTGTTAAATAATCTACATTTGCTTCATTCCACAGAATCTTAAACATATTACTAATAATGTTCACTGCGGCAAGATGAATATTTCAAAACGATTAACATAATGAAAATATGAAAAGCTGTGGAAAATACTTTAAAAGAAGAAAAAACATTTGTTCAAAGACGTTGCAATAAGTCACATAATTTTACAAAAACAAATGGTTAAACAATCTATTTTAATTTTTCTTTTCACTAATTTCTAATTTTTTTTCAAACTCCAAACATTTTTTCACAATCATATGTAATATTGTAAACTGCCTAGGGAGACTGGAATACATGGAGAACGATTTCGACTCATGATCTCAAAATGGTAATATTTTTGAAAGTTTAAACGTATTTTCAAAAGTAATATAGACGCCTCAATACATTTTGGTAGGGACTGTGTCATTTTCATTCTGCCATGCAGGCCATGCACGCCTGTCAAACAGCGTATATATAAATAAATATAGAGTCACATTGTTACACATCTACACTGGAGTTTCTGATGATGTGCCATCAGAAATCTATTGGATATCACTAATATTAGGTTCATTGTTGGTAGAGGATGTTTGTGACTTACTCTGTCTGACGGTGAGTTTTCTGTGTGCTACTTCTATATCCGGCATCTTTCTTCGCGTGAATTTCCTCCGAAAAACTTCTATTGGGCGCGCTTTCCTGGGATAAAACGATGCAAGAAAAGCTGCCCGAAACTGTTGATGATAGCACATATAAATTGGAAAGTTAACACCTGCATTTAAGAAGCGAAGTGACATAAATATGTTCTTAAGAACGCATAGCGTGTAATTTGATTTGAATATGAACATAGCGCTTACTACTGAAGTTAGAGGCGTGGATATTACGAAGGACGCCAGGCAGTTAAGGGCAACGATGAATGTTATTGCGCCTTGCGACCGGCATTTACCGTGAAAACGCAATCGTTGTCGATGAGGCGCCTTTTCCTTTTGCTTCAACTTACATAACATGTAAACGCTAACGATGGCTTGCAGCGTAAGTGAGAGAGTAACGAATACGGTGTCGCAAATGAAAGAGTACATGGTTGCAAATGAAGACTTCAAGACAGAAACCAAAACGTATTTTCCCACTGCAAAAGAAGCGATGATTGTAATAAGGACTACCATGCCGCAAATGGTGTACTTTCGCAACTGGTGCTTAAGACGCAAAAACTTAAATGGACTGACCATGGACAAAAAACGAATCACGCACAACCCAGCCAACAAACTGACGGACAAGAAAAATAGAGAACGAGCAATGAGAAATAAAAAGAACATCTCTTTCCTCCTTTTGCCCCCGAGCAACACAATAAGGTGTAAAATCTGGAACGGTAATTTTGCAACATTTGAGGCAAGGTCCGACAGTGATAATCCTAAAAGAAGAGGTAACACGTAACCACTCTTCTTATTTCTAATCCTACTCCATATGACTATATTGCAAATATTGGAAATGATCCCCCAGATGCATACAGTGAAATCAAACGGTTCCAATATGTACCACCAGTAGTGCGAAATGGTGCAGCGTGGGGAATATCCTAGTTTGCGTACCCGGAGTGGTCCTTGGCAGAGGCTAGTGTTTGCGAACACAGTGATGTTATCCAAAACAACATCATCAAGCCCTGTACTGTTGCAAAATCTCTCTGTCTTAAGACTGCCCATAGCTGTAGTTCAGAGAAAAAAAGTTTTATTTTTTTCGACATGAAATTTTCTCATACGCCAGCTTCAGATATGCATGCTATTCTTTGAATTATCGGACCAGCGTCTTGTTAAAATGGTCTGATTTTGCCTGATTTCTAAATTCGGTTGGTTTTCAGGAATATCGTATTAATTGCATCCCGTCTATCTTCGCATTCTGTTGTTTTTTTTGTGTCCGTAGTTGCACTGTACGTACATGTATGTCCTGGTCTTAATATTTA